TATCTATCTATCTATCTATCTATCTATCTATCTATCTATCTATCTATCTATCTATCTATCTATCTATTATTAAAGGAGTGTTTTTATTTAAAGGGAAATTGTGTATATATGAATGCTTTTTAAAAACAAAATACATTAAAATGAGACATTTTATAATTACCATTATTGTCACAAATGCATGTTGCTAAAAAAAAGTTTTATGATAAAATGTCAACGATTGTTTATATTTGAAGATAATTACAGATGCTTTAAACAAGCATAATACATTTAATTTTTATTGTAGAATGTATTTATTATTATATATATTAATAATTATTTAGTTTATATATACATTTTTATTATATATATTTAATAATTTTATTTGAATATAATAAACGAAGCTATAAACTATTTTATCTAGGGGAAAAAATCATAAAAAACGTTAGTCTTTCTTTTTAATCCATGTCAAAATCCATGTCATCCAATCCACCAGGGGGCAGCACGTAGACCCGATTGAGTTTTTTTAAATCCAGTGATTTTTATCATACTAACTGGAGTTAACCGCCAGCGGTCTGTGTTTGGGATAAATGTGTTTATGTGTCTGGGTCAGATCAGACCGAACCTAAACAGAACCGTTTTCCCCGGGAAGAAATGCATCCGATCCGGTTGTCGATCCCGTCGTTCCGCTCAGAGAACAGTTCTATGGAGAAAGGATTCACGGTAGGATCCACGGAAACCTCCGTCTCTGTCCGTCTAAATGCGAAAAGAGAGTCTCATTTAAACGAGTTGCTTCTAAACATTTTAAACAATTAGTATTTTCGCGTCACACATAGAATCCTCACATCTGAATCGATCCTTATGTCAAACATGTCAATTTTTTTAATGTAACTCAGTAACACTCTGACTTTGAGCCTGGCCGTTTAAATTAAAGAGCCACTGCAGAGCAGCTTTCCCTGTTGGGTTTTAGATGATCATTTGTTGTGTTTCCACGGAAATATTCTCTAAAATGTCAGCAACTCAGAGAACGTGAGAATTATATATTTAAAGATATTTCAAGCAGGGTCGTTGATGACCTTTGTGTGGCATGTTGACACCAGCAGCTCTAACAGTTTATGGACAGAGAGGTGTTGAGTGATGCAACTCCTGCAGATCCTCATCAAGTTCATTATTTTACTCTCTTGATTTAATAATTAGGGGAAGTACAATGTTTATAAGGTTCTGTTCTGTAACTTGGTCATATGATTATATTTTAATCTAAATCATTACAATGTGTTAATCAATTTATTGTCCCACAAGTGGGAAATCAACTCTCTGCATTGAATCCATCCCCTTGGGGAGCAGTGGGCTGCCATTGTATGGCGCCTGGGGAGCAGTGAGGGGTTAAGGGTACCAGAGTGGAGGCTGTGGGGATCAAACCTTGTACTTGCTTCCTTCTCCAAGCATAAGCGCACTGCTCTAACCCACTGGACACTCCCTACATGCTGGCTGCATGTTTAGGGTTGGTCACCTGCTGAAAGGGGATGTCTGCTGTTGCCTCTAACTGTTTTCTTTTTAGGATTATCATATATTCAGCTCTGATTATCTTCCCTGTCGACTCAGACAAGCTTCCTAATCCATGTAGAAGAAATGGAGCCTAGACGGAAGTTCAGATGAAGAAACTGATTGCTCTATTATATCCACCTGTGACACAGCCAATCAGCTTTGAACCACACCTCCACGAAAGCCAATCGGCATCCAAAGTTTATCTTAAAAGGCCTCCGATACGCACTGTCTGCTCCTGTGCGCAGGCGGCGGATGGCTGTGTGACTTCATTCAGATGACACCGTTTCAACCCACCTCCAGCCCCTCCTCCACCACTGCAGCTAAAGCTTCATCAGAGTTCATTACTCCAGGACTCTTACTGCATCCTGCGTCTCTTTTCAACCAGTCTGGCAGAAGAACGCCATGGCTCTGCCAGAGGTTTCTTCCCAACAGGGAGTTTTTCCACTCCACTGTCGCTTCATGCTTGCTCATCATGGACAGGTTCTGTCAACCTGTGTTATCCAAGCTGGACTTCCATCTTCCAGGTCCCTGAGTGAAGCTCTAGTACCAGCTCACGCAATCCACTAGATCTACCCATAAAGCTCAGCAGACCGTCTCTCTAATCAGCAGTCTACAGACTGACCAACTTCATCTATCTCCACTCCACCACCAGTTTCAGGCCTGGGGGGAAACAGTCCTATTCTTTACTCCTGTTCATGCATATATTTAAAAACTAAGCGCTATGTTTCCTGCCGAGGTCTGAGCGTCAAAAACAAAGTAATTGTTTCAATACATTTCTTCTAACTGTCTTTTCTCTTCATGTGAGTGATTCAGATTGAAATAATTTATATCTAGAGCATAATATTATGATGCCCAGAAACTAAATTTTTTCTGGTTTTGGTGTCGAGAACCTTGACATTTTCTTCCATCAAAGGTAGAGTCTCAGAGCAGCCCATTGATTTTAGATCCAGCCTTTCCTTTCTTTTTATTATAACCAACACAGTTGTCACTCAGACCTCCTCCTGGGCTCGCTGTCACTGTGGTTTAAACCGTGACGCTTGAACAGAGTATTTTAGGGAACAATGCAGCTGAGATCGGGAAGTATCTATGTACTTTTCAGGGATGTTAAATGTCATTATGACATCAGCCCCCCCCAAGCAGACAGATGTTTCCTTTATATAAAGCAGCTAAATGCTGACAAAATGAAGTGCACCCCCTAAAAGATGAGATCACTTTTTTTTTTTTTTCTTTGTCTTTCCTATTAGGTCTTTAAAATTGACATTCTTGTGAATGGCAGACTGCACAGTGTGGAGAAACGCTACAGTGAATTCCACAATCTGCACAAAATGGTGAGACATAACGTTCTCTAAAAGGATTTGGTGTGTTTTTGTTTTTGGTTTGTTTGGTTTTTTCTCATGAGGTATTAGTGCTGTAATATTGAACCATTATATCTGGAAAAAATAGAACTTTGCTGTTTAAAAGTAGTTTAGTTTCTAAGTAATTTGAAACGATCAAAATCAAGTTTAGTCTGTTTCCACACTTTTTGAAGGTGATGTTTTTTATGCATATCCATTTTTAAAATGAACAGCCTGTTTTTAAATGATTTTTGATCATGAAAATGATGTCTAATCACTAGTGTTTCTTATTATGCTTTTAAAAAATAAAAAAGAAGAGAAAACTCACTGAATTCCTGTTTCAAATATAATCTATGCTATTATATATGCAAATATACCTACAACATCCTCCTCCTTTTAACATCCTCTCTGCGCACTATTTAATAACGCACACATTTTTAGATTATACTGATTGTTAAAAGTTAAATTTAAGTAATTTTTTTTGTATTCAATTCACTGATGAATATAGACCTCTGAGGAAAGTTCATGTCGCTGTTCAAAGGAAATATTTGATGAGGTTGATTTGAAGTAATAAAGGTTTCTTTACCCAGAGGTGTCAAAAGCATTGATATTTCGCACTCAAGTAGAAGTATCAACTTATCAACTTAAGCTTTTAACTCCAGGAAAGGTTTAAAAGTAGCATTTTAAAAACTACTTAAAGTATAAAAGTAATGCAGGAAAGTCTGAGTAATTATTTTTTAAGACCGCTTTAAAAACATTAGGATAACATGAACATTTATGATGGTTTAAGACTTTTTCACTAACTGCATTTGTTTAGGTTTTGTGCTAAGCTAATAAATTACACTTTGAATATTTGTGTAACACTGTATATATGTTCTTTATTAAAAAATATATATATTTTTTAACTTTTTATTCTTAAAAACCTTTTCAGCTGAAAAAAAGCATAAAACCTCCTGAAATCCCTTCGAAGCATGTCAGAAACTGGGTCCCCAAAGTTCTGGAGCAGAGGAGGCAAGGCCTGGAGCTCTATCTGCAGGTTGGTCCACATTCTGTGTCCTTTTGTCAAGCAGAAACTCTGTCCCCAGCTGGCATTGCCAACTCCGAGCAATGTGCCTCAGCTTCCCTGTGTGGCGCACTCACCGAAATCTCCTTTTGTTTTTGTTCCTCAGACTGTAATTATGGAAAATGAGGTCCTCCCAAAGATATTCCTGGATTTCCTCAACATCCGCCATTTTCCTTCAGTGCCAAAAACGGAAAGCTGCGGGTGAGTTGGAACTGCAGGCCGGCTTTAGATTAAAAATAGAGAGCAATTTGTGGTGGCGTTTGTTAGTGGGAGAGTTTTGTTCCCAGATTTGAGAGACTTTGTTGTCTGACTTTTCCTTTCTTCCTTTTAGCTCTTTTGACACAGAATCAATGGAATCAAGGTGAGTCATTTTGGAGTTCTTTGTATAAACCAGCAGGTCATGCGCTTGTGTTGCACTTTAACCTGTTAGTGCATGAGACTGTGTTTGATCTACTTCTGAACTTCACCCTCTCACTTCTCCTTTTCTGTCTCTTTTTCAGCAAACTGTCTCATCAGCCAGTCATGGTGTATCTCAGAGATCCATACCTGCTGCCCTCTGCACATGGTGCGCAAACATAATGACTCCATTGTTTGGAGAGAAAAAAAAATAGCTTTTGCTCTACTTTTAATTTTCCTTTACAGTTAAATGGTATAAATCATAACAACATAAGTATTTATTAAATTACGAATGCTCAAGTTACTGCGATCGCACCTCATAGACTCAAACAGTAGTTGTGGCTATTGAGCACAGGGTTTGGAAAGTCTGTGTTTATATCTAAATGATGTTGTGATTTCAATTTTAAGAAATCCTCCAGTGTTAAGCTCGTGTCACACCTTGTTAGTTTAGTCAGATAACTTACCTTTTACTTATGGACCATACGACGTATTTGCCGTATGTCGACGTGTGCCAGCGTGCATCAGCGTTCTCATAACCTATCCAACATATGCCAGGTTTTTGCCAAATTTTACAATTTAGAGCTAAAAATCTGAATGAAATACATTTATGAAGACGTAAAGGACTTAATATTATCACAACTGCAATTAAAAAAAAATCAATGCTTATTTCCCTTAATAATAAAAAGAATCAACATGTGAAAACTTAAATTTATATTTACTCATCTTTGCCATAAAGTTTTTTTTTTTCTGTCTGAAACATTGTAGTGTGAGAAAAAGGCAAACCAGTTTAAATATTTAGGGGGTTAAATACTCTTTCACAGCTCTGCACATTGAAATGAGTTAAATTACATTTAAGGAAAAGCAAAGTGTGAAATTATATGTGCTTTTTTTTTACTTGCAACTTCTTTGGTTTTCAGATACCTTTTCCAACGTTGTGATTGAAGGCGTGGTGCACGGAGTTTTCTACCCCGATCTTCAGCCGAGGTAGAGCTAATGAGAACTGAAGACCCGCCGCCGCCGCCATGAAATCCAACCTTCTCACCAGCTTTGGTGTGCACCAGGAAGAACATATCAGAGAACAATCTGAGCCTTCTTTTCTCCTTACTCTTACAACAAAAAACAACAATTTGTTCTGTTTTTTAACTGAAAGGGATAGCTAGCCGTTGGATAACTCTCTACATTTTCCACAATAGACACTAATGTAAGTTTTGCTCGTTAGTCAATCAAACTTTCACTTTAAAACTCAACTTAAATATGGAAGGGATGTCATTTGGAAAAAGATCACATTTTTTAGCGGTTTTAGATTCAAAATGTTACAAATAACCAGAGAATTTATGCTTTTAGCAGAAAAACAAAGTATAATTGTGAGGATTATCCACTTGGAGAAATAGAATTTGAGAAAGTTTTCATATCCCACTGGACAAAAGATTGAACAGAGGGCCTGTATAGTTACATCCCTTTGAATGCATTGTTTTTTTTTTATTAATCATGAAGGATTTAGATGAGGGAAAGCAGCTCAAATAATGTGACTCACTACATTGTGGTGCAAATCATTTAGTGTGGATTCTACAGTGATAATTTATTTTCCCCAATAGTTTTAAATGTGCTACATTTCCTCTCAGATGCTGAATTAGCTGCTCAGTTCTAACCTGTCATAAGTTTGTGGTTTTTAAATTAGCAGATAGTTTGAAACTAACCTACAACAACTTTAATTATGTGGCGCTATCAGAGTTCCATTAAAGTCACCTTCAAATAGTAACAGTCATCATACCGGCTGTTTGAAATAAACAAATTAGGACTCAGTTCTTTGTAAGGAGACTGACCCATAACACTCCTTTATTTATATTTGCAACCCTGGGGAAAATGTCTAAAAATAGAATAACTGGTTTTAAAGGGACTTAACAATAATCCCAACATGCTACTATTCTCTAAAAAGTTGTTCTAAACCTTTTAACGTGAGCTCCAGATGTTCAAGTGGGTACGTTTAGCTGAATACTTTTTATTGTTGCCAGCACATCTGCTTAAATTAAAAAGGGACTAATCCTGGGTTTTCTTCCCATTTTGAAGACCAGCTAGAAGAAATGACCCTCTTTAATGTCTTGTATTCTTACCAAAGTCTAACAAGAAGTTAGAAACTATTTCAAAACATCTGCATATTCCGATGAATGTTAAGCTTTGGTTGCATTAGGTTTTTAATTTGGGGAATTTCCTCACTTAGTAAATGTCCACAAAATATTTTTTCTTGGACATTTTTCTTCAAGCATAGTAATTTTTGAATTTTTTTTTACCTTTGGTTTCTCAGGCTGGCGTTTAGGATTGGTTAAACTTTGATATCCTGAAATCACTTTAGATTAGATGAAATGTTAAATTAAACTCTCCTACAGTTAGCATTGTAATCAGTGCAACAAACTTAACATAATTTATCCCAAAAACTAAAGCAGAACTTATTTATTATAACAAGAAAGCAACATGGGCAGCCTAAAGATACTCATGGTTACGTCTTTACTTTTTGTCATCTATGCAAAACAGTTTTGGAGCTTTTACTGTGAAGCTGCTTATGTACTACAGGATATTTCCTTCTTTTTTTTTGCATTTTTTCACAAATCTGAATAATTTTTCTTTGTTTCTCTAAAATCATGTATCTAGCACTAACTCCATGCAAGTTTCATTAAAAAAGGGAATGTACACTTAATAGGTTAGTTGTGAAGCTCTTATTGACGAGATGCAAAGGGTGCTTTTTAAATGGAAATGTTGGAGCCAGTAACATGTTGTGCAATATAAGGGAAGACAGCTACTCCTTATGTTTCTGTGCAAGTCGTAGAAATCTGTGAAACAACCGACTCTTGACAGAAGATGGATGTCTTTTTTTTTTTCTTGACTGGATGTGTATTTCTCCACATTGAAAGGTCTTATTTTAAACATCGAAATGAAGTAATAATAATAAAATAAATTTCTCCTCTTAGGATTGATGAAGACTTTTATGTATGTATGGTCTGTATCATGTCTTTGTCATAATGTCAAACTACAATGAATGCTGTTGTCGTCGCACACTAACAAATGCTTTGTAACATACACTAATAAATGATTTCTACTATTTTTGTCAGAGCTGACTTTATTAAATAAACAATTATAGTTTTGTTTAAATTACAGTTATTTTTACATTTGACATCAAATGTTTTTCTCCCATTTTGGTAAAAAAAAAATTAATCAGAATAAAATTTAAAAAAACTCATTCAGCCTCATGCAAGGAAGCAGCATTTATAGTCTGGCTTGTTTAGAAGTACCTCTTCCAAAATAATACAGCCCTTATAGAAGTGATGGCATCTTGTGTGAACAGAAACATACAGGATTTAGGTTTTTCTGCATCGTGTTTTCTTTATGAAACCCAAATACAAGAGCAAAAAAATTCAGTTGAAAATCAGTGATGTTGGAGTACTTCCATAGCCTGGGCAGCGAGGACCCCGTTGAGTAACAGTCTAGCAGTAACATCTGTAGGAATGTCTGATTCAGCACCTGGACTTCATTTATCATTTTTAACTCCTCAAAGTTCTGCATGACCAATTTCCTGTTTGAGCGTCTCATCTGTGTTGGCCTCTGCTTCCGGTTCCTTCATGTTGGCAAAGGCAACTTCTCTCCTCAGCTGCTCCACAGGAGGGAGACCAAACATCAGGTTTCTCATCGCAATGGATGTCATCAGGAATCTACCAGAGAAAGGAACATTGTTAGGAGCTTTGACTCTGGGTAAGCATTGCTCTAGTTATTAGTTATGAAATTGAGCTAATCTCAAGTTGTCAAGGTTGCTTTGTTGCAATAAATATAAAACTATCTGAAAATGTAAAAAAAAAAAAGTCATTATCTGATCATTATCTTTAGGTTTCCTTCTTCTCCGCTTGTCTCCACTCAGCTTTTTTTTTCTTTTTTCTTTTAAAGATGATTAGTTTCTTAGGATTTAAAAGATTTTTGTTCAGGTTATCCTTCACTGTTCAGAAATATCAAGAAAGTAAAAAAAGAAAATCTTGGTTTTCTCATGTAGTAGTCTACAGATAACACAAGCTTGAGCTGGTTTGGTTGGTGCTTTAACTGTTTAATTAGCTCCTCTTCCTTGTAGTCAAACCAAATCTCTTTTTTTATTTTTGGTGGGATAAAAGTTTCCTTAAGTCAGTTGTTTAATATGAACCCAAAATATTGGGTAAACTGAAAAGATCTGTCATAGATGAAAGATTTACTGATATAGTTCAGCACTCAGTGGGACATCGAACATTGTTAGAAAAAAATATCGATATCAAAATGAATCACAGTTGAAAAATTTGTTTATTCATCCAATTTCTTGTAAAAAGTTCGATTTTTACACTTTAATAAAAGCTGAAATAATATATTTTCATTATAATTTTTAATTCTTACCCAGACTTTAAATGTCCTATATCAAAATTCAACTCTTGTTTATTTTCCTGGGCTCAGTAGGATGCGTGTAACATGAAATGTTTCCGTCAGCACTCACCCCCTGCGTATGGCGTAGTACTTTTTAACAGCGAAGCGATTCAGTCGCTCCAGCACACCCGCTTCCCTGCGTTTCTTAACCTCCTTCATGCGACGCTGCCTCTTCAGGAACAGCTGCACCACGGGGTCCGTGGCGTTGACCTCCGCCTCTTGGTCATCATCTGCAGCCTTAAGAGGCAGCAGCTCAGGAGGAAGAGGCTCCGTTTCTGGACAGACAGACTCAATTATTAACATATCCCTTTTCATGTTTGCATGGAGGAGGAACCAGAAACACAAGGAACCTCAGCAGATGGGATATGAGCATTAAAAAAAAAGGTTATTAGAGCTTTTTTTCAAAAAAACTTGGTGTGTTTTAGTGAAACTAATTACATGGATTTATAGCATCCCTTGTTTTGTATCACCTGTTCCATTGCGAATGCGCTCCTGGATCTCCTCCAGTTTGGTGAAGTTCTGCAGCAGTGCTGCTTCTGTGGTGTTGACGTAGACGTACATGTAGCAAGACGGGCTCTCAGACACGGTGTAAACTTTATGATAAGCACCAGCAGGAACCTGCACACATCAACATACCTAAGTTTAGGTAAGTCAAACTACTACTAATAATTACTTTGTAGATTACTCTTTCAAATTGACCATTTTAAACAATTTTGGATTAGAAAAAGCATACAATATTAAATATTATTTTTTTAACTTTTACTTTATATTGTCAGTTTTAAGACTTTTTTTGTTCCAGTTTTTTTCTAAGGGGATCACTGTAGTTTAAAATTTGTTTGTGAATGGAAAGCAATAAAGGATACTTTAATTTTTTTAAGTTATTATTAATTGATATCAGGGTTTTTTTTATTTCTTGGGAGGGAAGAGAGGAAAAAAGAGAATAAAGGAAAAAAAGAAAAAATGTAATGGACAGAAAACAGAAAAAGGGGAGGACTTCCTTTCTATTTCTGTTGATTGCCCTTTTTTTTCTTTATGTGTACAGTGGTCTTGTTTCTCAAATTGTCTCTGTTTGTATTTATGCATCAGCACAATTGGTTAAAAAAAATGGAAAATGTAAACTACATATTAAATTCTGTAAAGATGTTTCATGCATTTGCCAAAAAAAAAAAAACATTAAGATCTCCAAGTAAACGGAATAGTTTAAATTGGTCATCAGAGGCTAAATTGATTTTAGCCTGAATATCAGATGAGTGTGTTTACTTTTATTATATACAGTATTTCTGGTCAATAGTAAATAGTTTTTGGTTTATTTGAAAAAGTTTTAAGATGTTAGAACAGAAAAACGTTTTATTTTTGATTTAACGAAAATGAAATAAAAAATAAAGCTCACCGTACCTGTATCTGTTCTCCTGGCTGCAGAGTGTGGTTCTTCTTTTCTTCCACTATCTCCACATTCACCTGTCCCTGCAGCACATGGATGCTGGTGTTCCCCAGGTCTTCACTAACAAAGTTCTCCAAGTGGAGACCTGCGAGTAAACAAGCTGGGAGTTAAAAGAAATAAATGTTGCTGCTTTACAAAATAATTTAGACTAAAAGAGAGAGAAACTCAACCTGGGAAATCAGCAATAAAGACAATCTCAGTCTGATTGTCCAAACTGCCCTCTATCTCCTGGAACTTAGTCCTCCAAGGTGAGAGGTCCACCAGCAGGGGCATCAGCCATGGGTTTGGTTTAAAAGGCGACCATTCTGCTTTTACAATGTCAACGCGAGGATCAAATATCCTTCAAGAAGGAAAAACTGGTTAAATTTAAAGTCCACCTACGGTAATCCAGCTTCTGTGTTACTGATGCTCTCCTACCTTTGCTGGAAGCGTTCATTGATGGAAACCCAGATATCGAAGTAGATTTCAGGATCAGAGATGTTGTAGTTTGGCAGCAGTCCGCTGAGACAGGTAGCATACTGCTTCAGCATGTCTCCGTGATCTTTCCAGCGACGGCTCTGAGTGAAAACCTGGACGCAGGCAGGAATGAGAGCTACATAAGACCAGGGCTCTCACAGTCAAGTCCTAAAAGGTCTGTACCCTGCAGCTGAGGCACACCTGAATATAATACTCAGGTTACAGGCAGCGGATGTTACTAGATTTGGAGAATATATTGAATAATGGAGGGAAAAAACCCCTCCAATATTTCATATTTTGACCAGAACAAATCAAATCTGGAGCCAGTTGATGGATAAAAACTATTTACAATGACAAGCATTTTCATCCCCCATATATTTTCACTTTGCCAGCATTTTCAAGTCTTCTCACCCCTGGGTTCAGGTATCCGATTTCCCCCGTTTTCCCATCTTTATAGGTGATCTTCACATGCTGATGGCTGCGGGAGTGGACCATCATGTCCCAGGAGTAGCCATACAAACCGTTGGTCCAGTTATTGTAACCCTGAACAAAACAAAAAAAAAGGGAAACATTTAAAATCCCATTCCCATGTTTATACCTTACATCACATGCAGTGCAGAAAACATCCATGTTTTTAGTTTATCAGTGATGAATAAGATATGATAAGGGTCCAGTTTAAAGATTTCAAAGTGCTGTTGATGGTGAAACAATGACTGTTGACTGATTAAGCAACTAGGTCAACTCTGGAGGAGCTTCAAAGGATTATAGCAGAGGGGGGAGCTATCTATCTGCACCCCAAAGAAATGGAAACATTAAAGACATTGAAGACACACCTTGGTGATGAAGTGTGAATAAGGCATGAAAAACTGCTCGGCTATGTAAAGAATGGTAAAAAGTGCTCCCAGCTTGTGCTTCAATCTCAGTTTGGAAGGTTTTGCAGGATTTTGTGTCTCCCGGCGGTCGCTGGTGCTGCTGCTGCTGGTTTCAGGGTAAAAGCAGGAGGCACTGGGCTGAATCTCCGCCGAGGTGAGCGGCAACATTTCGCTGAGGAAAGATGGGAAGCGGGCGAAGAACCTCCTGGGCCAGTCAGGGTAGCAGAAGAGAGGACTGGTTGCCAACATCGTGTAGGAAAACATTCCTGAAGGGGTTTTAAAAATGTACAAAACTGTGAGCTAAAACAAAGGTTTTAGAGCTGTCCTGGTAATTAAAAGCCGTGATAGAAGCTCACTGACCGATACTGAACAGCTGAGAGTTCATGCAGTGGAAGTAGGACACGAAAAAAACTGCAAATGGTCGCGTGGTGTCAAAAAACAGCAAATATCCAGCGGTTAGATCGAGGACAA